TGAATGTGGAGGATAATTACTCATAAAAACTTAACATGAATTTCAAGTTAGAAAGGGTGTCTTTTATTCAAAGCTTGCATAAGTAAATCCCAATGCAGTAGAAAAGCAGGAGGACCAAACCAGTAGCAAACACAAGACGAGGTGCAAAAAGAACATTCTGTTAGTTGATGTATCAACAGGAATAAAAAGTTGAACATTTTAATTGTATGTTTTACTGTATCTTATTCTGCTTAATAACTAATGAGAGCTAATTATAGAGGAATTGCCTGATTGATAATTACATTACTTCCTTAATGGAGAAGCAGCATTTAGTTCCTATGCTCCACTTATCTGGAACAAACTTCCAGAAAACTGTAAAAGTGCGGAAAGCCTGAGTTAAAAACACATTTGTTTAGGATTGCCTTCGACTGTTCTAATTAAACAGTTAAACTAAAACATATTTTCTTTAGTCCAACTGCTTTTAATATTCTTTTTTGTTTCTGCATTTTTTATTTTATTTTATTTTATTTTTTCCTACTTGCTTTGATTCTGTTTTATCTTCCTGTATTTTAATCATGTAAAGAACTTTGCATTGTCTTTGTACTGAATTGTGCTATACAAATAAATTTGCCTTGCCTTGCCTTGCCTTAATCATTACTTTTTGTGATCCAGCATTAAAAAAACAGAATTATAACAGCTCTACTCCAAATTTTTGAGTGTACTTTTATATTCTACATCTTCCTTCCATCAAAAGAGCTCATATAAAGTTCCCTTCTTGACCTCCCCATATCTAATATAAACGTTGACCTGTTTAAATGGGGCAAACTCCATCAATGTGTAGTTTACAATAAACTAAACGTGACCTTAATTTTCAGCACTCCTTTAACTTAAACCTTACAAATTGATCATTTATAATTACTTTCCAAATGATTTGTTTGCCAGAAGGTTGTTCTAACAAAAAGCAAACAATACATTTGCCTTGAACAGCATATTATTTTTCATATCTCTGTATTCTGTAGTCCTGTAAAAATAGACATAACTCCAATCTAAGCATTTTAAGGGCATATTTTATTTAGAATACAGTTTAATTATTATATAATCAAATCACGGTCATATCTGATTGTCAGATGGTTGTAGGATTTGTAGTTTAAAGCAAAAATCAACAGTGTAATTATAATTATCTCTGTTTTGCCAGCTATATGCTTTAACTGATTTTTAGTTTTTATTTTCTGTGACATTTATTTAAAACAATGGAAGATCCCACATCAGCACTCCATGATATTTATTACAAAGTTAACTTTGTGATGATTTTCCTCCCAATAAATGTTTCATTGTGCTTCCAAAGAGATGGCATGTTCAGAATCTCTGAGAGGAAATGCCACTTTCACAAATGTTTTTTTTTTTTTTCCTTTGAGCATCAGTGTGGGACATACAATGCAGAGTGGAGGTTCATGAGCTCTGACATGCATACTGCAAGAGTGAAGGCATAGCGGACCTGAGCAGTGACCCTGTGCAAGATTAGTGTTATCAGTGACAGTTTGGTTATCTTAGGATTCAGATGATTTTTCTGCTTAGTGTATTAAAAGGACAAGGTGGCTGACCTTATGAGGAGGTGAGGTTTCTGAGAAACATAAATCTAAGAGTTTGTGACATTTCAGAACAGGGAGGTGAATCTAATGCAGTTGGAATCATCCCAACTGTACTGTACAAATCTTTAGGTGCAGCTTGAAGATGATTCATTTTAAATGGAACATTGTGATAGATAAATGTGTAAGGTCTTTTGTTCTGTGTTTACTGGATATTGAATTACTTAAAATAGAATATATTTCCATATCTATCTATCTATCTATCTATCTATCTATCTATCTATCTATCTATCTATCTATCTATCTATCTATCTATCTATCTATCTATCTATCTATCTATCTATCTATCTATCTATCTATCTATCTATCTATCTATCTATCTATCTATCTATGAATTCTGATATTCTGCCAACAAATAGTAACAATCTGCATTCAGTTATAGGGATGCAATTTAGCAAACAGGCATGATGGCCTTTGCAGATCTGAACAGAAAGCAATCAGACTGTGAATAAAGCATCTCTGACTCTCACGGCCACAGAGAGGCAGCCTTAAACTACTTTCCAGAACATTTCTTTGTTAAGGAGCATCTCCGTGAACATGGACAAGGAGCTGGCTACGAAGGTTATGTTCGGCCTCTGTATGTTTAAATGTTTGATTAAAACCATTTGAAACGGGGACGCTGAATAGGAGGCAGAATGCATCTCAAGGCAAAAAGGGCCGATCTTGAAATGATTGCGGGTTAAAATGGTCCGTTGTCCCTAGCAGCAGAAGAGTTCAATGTCCTGTTTGAGTGGGACTTAATTTTTCTATTGGTAGATGCTCATTTTGTTGAAAACGAGAGGAGCACAACTAATTAACCTTCTCCATTCCAGAATCCATGAGTGCTCTACATTTTGTTGTGCATCCATCACATGTAGACAAGCTGTATTGGGGAGGCTATCTGTATAAAATATTGTATTCATCTCTGGCCAGGTTTATAAATCTTTCTACTTTAAACTGTACATTTTCTTTTTGCTGATCTTTATATAATTTCCAGCCTCTGCAATGTGTAAAGTTTTGCTTCAGTATCTCCGTCTTTGCAATGTCATTTGAATTAATGTTACTTCCAAGGAAGCAGTGCAAATGTTTGATTTTGACACAACTGGATAAACAATAAATAACTCCAGACCATAGAGTAAGTATTCAGAAATTTATGTTTTTAGAAATGCATCAACCAACCAGACAGATTTCAGCTTCAAATATTTTTGTTTAATGATCAACTTTAATCATTAATCTGCAGACAAAATACTGACTGTTTTTCTTCCTGTACATTAGTGCATCAAGATAATAACTGCAAGCATTTTTATTCTCCCTATGCTTTGACTAATGCACTCTTTAAAGACAGCTGGAAAAATAGGCCTGGTTAAGCTTGAATATTGCATCACCTCCTTTTTTGAAAACTTAAATCCTGTATTCTTTAAATTAAATAGAAAGTATTACTTATTTCCAAAGCTTAAGAGAAAACAACTTAGATTTTAACTGATAAAATAAACCCAAATATGTTTTATAGTAAAGTAAAAAAAAAATCAACCCTCCTCTAATACATGCTTAGTGTATAAGGGAACAATCCTGTTAATTATCCCACCTTCTTCCCATTTTATGACAGATTATCATCTTTCTATACACACATTGGTTGTTTAGTTCAGTGATCCAAATCCAGAGAGCTTACTGAGCTTCACTGATGAAAAGTAACAAAAAATGCTGCCAAAAATAAACAATTTCTCAAGCAGTCAATTATACATCTCAGATGGCTTGGATTATTCATAAACCTCCATTCAAATATGAAGAATTAGCATTTGAAACACATCATTAATCATATAAACAGCAAGCAGAGTGGCACCTTGTATTAATAGACGTCGTTTTTGAAAAATCCCTGGAGACTGAGCCCTGTCTGGGAATTATTACAGAAAATAATTCAAATCGGAATATTTAATGCAGAGTGGTCTTGTATGATTATTAAGTGCTTCTCTGCCGCATAATAAAATAATTACTTACTATATTAATTCTTTCCTAATCTATCAATGTTGCATATAATGACTTAGTCCAGATATCCTGCTAAGAGATGTCATATTATTCAGATACATGGTCTGGCAAGGAGGAGAGGAAAAACACAGAAATCAATTTCCCTATGATTAGCCACAGACTTTTGGATAAAGCAGGCTGAAGCAGCTCTGAAGAATGAAAGAAACTCTCAGAATCAAGACAACAAGTGTACACAGCCTGTTATCTTCACTGTGGAAGAAGGGCAGCAGGATAAGGAGGTCATTTTCCAAACACAGAGGCGGCTACAAAAACTTTCTTTTCAAGTGTTATATTCTCTAAATATTATTGCCTGATGTTACTCAAAGAAAAAAAAAAAGAAAAAGAAAAGGAGCAGTTGAATTTAATCTCTGCTACAAAATTTTACCTCATTATGTTAATCATAAGGTCATCAGAAATGAACAGCTGCTTTATCACTTGAACATCTTTGCTTCTGTTGAGTCTGTTCCCAGGGCACCATGATGACTGGGCTGCAGTCAGCCCAGGGGTTTGTGAACAGAAGGATGTTTTTTTTTTCTAAGTTTTCTCATGTGAATCATGAGCTGAGTCTTCTCATTAAAAAGCTGCGTTTGAATCTGTCTACTTGAAAGAGGAGTGGGTGATTTAAATTTGATTGCAGGTTATGTAAGGATGGAAGTTTTTAGTCAAAGTCCATCACAGTAGTTTCAGTCTACTGCTGTCTTCTGAAATCATATTAAGGCAGTTTGGGTTATTATTCTAAAATTGCACCCCATAAAAATAATAATACCACTAATGATGCTGATAAAAAAAAAGAAAAAAAAAGATGTGATTATGATGAAATAATGAAAAAAAGCAGGTAAATTGTTTTCGAAGTCCTTAGGGTCATGAAATATATTGTGCGTTCTTGAAATATTAAATCTTTAATAAATGTTTTGTCTTTTTTTCCGCGCTCTCTTTGATATTTGAAAGAATAGATATTCAGATGATAATTATCATTTTATAATGAGCCACATTTTTTAAAGTTTTAAAAATGATAGAATAGCTGACAGGTGGAAAAACGGAAGCGCTTAAAAGGCGCTTGGCATCAGTTTCCTCCTGGGACTATCAGCGCACCTGGCTGTCCGGGGCCAAACTCAAGCCCTTTGTTAATTAATAACATGGATAATAGCATGTCAGTCTCAAAGAAAGCAGATAAGAAAAATATTCGCATTTTTGCATAAAATTAAAGAAAAATATATATCTTTATATATAAGATGATTACGCAAAGCTGCAGTGAACTGGAAAGTTTTCCGCTATTTAATTAATAGTGCATCTGTGCACCATGCATGGGCAGGACGGAGCAAGGTGCGTGGAAAGCAAAGTGTGACTTTCTGCCCACTCCCACTCTTCTCTTACCAAACAAGCTGTTCCGTTGAGGAGGAGCAGGATGAAGCCGCGGTTGGGACGCATCATTCCGGCGCGTAAAACTCACAGCCTCACCTCCTCTAAAGAAATTAAGCAGAATCAAATAAAAAAAATTTAAAAAAATCAGGAGAAGGCTTTTCCCTCTGCACCGGACCCGGATCCCGCTGGACTGACGCACGGTCCCATATCCAAGGCACAATGGGGTAGTACTGCTCCTACAAACAAGAAACACAAAGGGACCTGACTTGGAGCGACCCTGTTCTGTCTGATCTCTCTCCCTCCTCTCTCAAGATCCTTTTCTTGAACTCAAATTAGTTCTGTTGCGAGAAATCCATTTATTTACGTTTGTCTTTTGTCATCCATTAAAAAAATGAAGAGATCCCGGCTGAGAGTGAGGAGACTTCAGTGGGAAGTGTGCAGATCATATCTGCTCAGTGATGCTGGTAGAGATCCTGAAGGGATGGAGCTGCAGCCTCCTGCAGAAACTGAGCGATGCTGAGAGTGGAAGGAGCGAACAGACGTTTTAACAGTTTCTGTTCTCCCTCTCTCCCTGCCTGTGAGTGTGTTTGTGAATATCCCCTTTTATCAGATGCCTTTCCTCTCTCCCTCCCTTGTCTCAATCACTCCCCTCCTATCCAGCATCTCAATCTTTATCTCTTTCAGTTACTTTTTCCTTCACCTATTTTACTATAGTGAACAGTAGTGCACTTCTTTCTGAAGCATTCCACTGTTCAGTCCTCCTCAGTCCTTTTCTGCACTCATATCTTTCATTAAATATATTTTCATTTAATAAAAAATATAGTTTTTCACATGAACATTGAACTGAACCATTAGATTTCTATTTAGTTTTAGTCATCACCCCAACAACTCAGCTTCTCCTGTCCCTGCAAAAGGAAAGCGCCCCCACTGTATGACTCTAACACCACCAAGTCTCACAGTGAGGTCAAACTATTGTTACCATCTTACACATCTTTCTGCTTGTATACGTATTTTATTTACATTGGAGCAAAAATGCATCATCTTCATTGTGTCTCCTATAGGCTACAGGGCTCCTCTCTATCTTGTCTGTTTAACTGGACAAACCTATTTTCATACTTTGTTTTACACTTTTTCATGATGGATTGAGCAGGGTCCTGCTGATTGGGATTGTTGACTTTATAACCCATTACTTTAAGTTATTTACCTCTTTAGTAGTATTTATTTTGTGCTCAATAAGACAAGGAGACAGGAATCCTCACCAAGGTGGTAAGAATTTAGCGTTTAATAATGGTTATCTCATATAACTTTGTCTTTTGATACCTGGATGTATTTTCTGCTTGATTCACTTCCTAACTTTGATTGTCACATATTGCCAAAATACACATATAATATTACTGCTGTTTGTTGTCCTTTTTTGCCAGCCATTTATCCAGAGTTCCGTTAAAGAGGATACAGACAGATGAGGTGGGTGCCCCCATCTAGACGAGGTGTTATTAATAAAAGAAATTCTCAGTATTTCTCTGTTTTTTTGGGGAATGGAATGAGGAACTGAAATGTGAGATATCACTATGCAGGTTAACCAAGCCGCTCTACTCCTGAGTAATTAGCTCTACAGACGAATGTTTTGTTGTTGTATTTTTTACACTCTCTTTTCAGGCTGACAGAATAAAAAAAGGTCCCAGTCTCTGTCTTAATGTTTCAACTTGTTTAAGTCATTTGTTTGTGCCCTTTCTTGATGTTATCTGGTTGAAGTGCAGACCGAGGGTTAATGGACCTCAGATCAGGGGTTAATTGGCTCCACAGGCTTTATATCAGGGGACCTGACGTCTGTGGGTGCATGGTCAGCACTGCAGACGGAGGCTGTGCCAATCCAGTCTGACACAGACATCAAAGGTTTAGAAAAAGTGGAGGTTTTCCAAGACTCCTCTTATTTTAGTGCAGCCTGCATGCAAACGTCCACACCCACAGCTCATTCGAATGCAAGAGATGCTGATGAAATATGGGACTAAGATGTTTTTTAATCTCCGCCTCTCGTTTTGTTTATTTTTTTATTTGTTTTTCAAATGCTAAACGTGCCTTTGTATAATGCGAGCCAGCCTCCTCAGCCAGCTTGTGTGTGAAGGAGTTGTCTGGGAGAGGAAACATCAACCTATAAAGGGAAATCCACTCCCTGATCCACAATCTAAGGAAACAGCACCCGTAGTGAAACTTCTTTTAAAACAGATCACGTTCATTTATACACACACACTTTCACCCCTGAACATAATTATAGGGCAATAAGTCAGTCTGTAGGCTCCCTGGGGATGAACCAGACAATGGACTGCTATTCTTTACTCAGTTTAAGAAAAGAAAAGCAGAACGAATTGTGGGTGCTAAGATATCCATCATTTAACACCTTGGATTGACTTATCTTAATGTGGTTTCACAGATGACTCACTTCAGCATGAGGAACAGGAAATTCATGTTTGTGTACTTCCTTTTTATCCCATGATTCTGCCAAACCACAACAATTGTACTCAATCATCGCATTGCTTGACACGTAATCCTATTTCACAGTGTAATTCTGTTTGAATGAGGAGCTGCAGGCAACAGACAGCTTGGTAAAATGATGGAGACTGTGGTTACACGCTTTATAGATGAGGCTTTACTGCACTCTAGCGTCTAAACTCCAGCAGTTGAGGATCACATGTCTGTTTGGACACAGTGCCCTCCACAGATTTTGTCACCCAATACAAAGACATGAAACAAAAAACAATACATTTATTTTAATTTTTTATCTTTGCTTAAATTTTTAAATTTTAATTTTTGAAAAAAATCCAGCATTTGCTTTCCCTACATATATATTTCTTAAAAAGTTATTTGTAATCATATCTACGAAGGAGCGTTCAATAAGTAATGCCCCTAACCCAGTTCCAGATGTTTGATCGAGCTGAAATTTTGCATGTGAGGTTATTTAAATCTCTATAGATTAAGTAGCAAATTACAGCTCTGAACTATCTGTGGTTTTTGACTTACAGGTGTTTGAACTGAGTAAAGTCTGTTGAGTGTGGAGCAGTGATCTGGTTTTTCTATTGGAAAGGACTCACACCACAGGAGACTTTTGAGGACATTAAAGTAACTTATGGCGATGATACCCATTATATGACCCTGCAAAATGTTTTACAAGGTTATATTATTGGACATTATCTCCATAAGTTACTTTAATTTGATCAAAAGTCTCCCATTGTTTGCATCCTTTCAAATGCAAAAACTCAGACGTGACTCAGTTTTAACACCAGTAAATCAGAAACCATAATTAGTTCAGATGTGTAATTTTCTATTTAATCTATAGAGATTTAAAATACTTCACATGCAAAATTTCAGCTCAATCAAACATCTGGAAGTGGGCAAGGGGCAATACTTTTTGAACGCCCCTCGTAATCACAACTTTTTCCAATATAATTATGTCTCTCTTTCATTTTTGAAATAAATTATTCCTTGGATTTCTTTGCACATTGCTGTTACATTGCCGCCCTGCTTTGTGGATGTATCATTTCAGAGCACATGACAGAGCTGATGCAGCAGACCTATAATTAATCACAGTTTTGTTCAAATGTAAATGTGATCATAATAAAATCTGTAAAGCTAGAGGATATCAACCCATATATGTTCTCAATGTTCTGCCTAAGTAGTAATAGTCATTATTAGCAAGGAACTGAACCTAAACACCGAGAACATTTTATTTAAATAAAAATTAGGCTAGGTAAATAATTGTACAGTTATGTAGATGGTAGAATTTTAGGACATCACATTATCAAATGGTGTTTAAATATCAAATATCATCTTTTTAAGTTAATTCCACAAATATATTTTTTAATCACTGGCACTGAGTCCAGAGCTAAATGGGTATTAATGACTGACACAAGTCATTTGACAGGGTGATTATTATTTGATTAAAAAAACACCTTTTCTTATTATATGAGGCGATGTTTGAGCTATCGTAGTTCAACCCCCTTTCAGTTTCCTTTAAATTGTTCAAAAGTCATTAAAATCCTTAGTGTTATTTTATACCTTTTTCCTTAACACCTTAATCAAAAGCTTTTGGTTATACTCATATCTTGATTCCATTTTTTCCCCTCTCTAATCATTTTGTTATGTTTGATTTGAACTGTTTTAATTCTACCATTTAGATTCTTGGTCTAAGCAAGAAGTCCAATAGTAAAAAAAGCAAAAAAAATACATACAAAAAAATGATATCACCAATGTTAACATAAAAGTAAATGAATTTAAGATGTATGGAATGGGGGGTGAATTTAAGGTAAATCTATGGTAAAAAAAAGTATATTATGTTTCCCTTTTAAACAACAACGGTAAAACAGCACTTCTTTAATGTGATAAAACAGATTGGCTCCTTTATTTTTTAGTGAAATGAACAAAGAATCATTGACATGAGTTTTCTCCATCATGGACTGAGTGCTTGGTCTCTAATGAAGGTATTTATTTACAGAATTCAAAAAGAGAATTTCTTTGTGTTAGATAGAATTCGATCTAGAAAACAAAATCAAGTAAAAATTTAAACTGACTGCATTTTAAAATATGGTGTCGAATTCTTCACTCTGATATATCAAGTAAGCAGATAATTATCCACAGCTGGGTTGTCTTATCTGTTATCTGTTTAGCTAAAGCCTCCCTTTGTGAGATGTTTGTGTCCCTAACTAGTGTGGAAAACAAATCCGTATTACGGTAATCACAAATTTAAAAAAAAAATGTACTTGCAAAAAGCCTGAAAGATTACAGACCTCTAGCTTTAACTTTAGGCAAAGCGTGGGATGGAAGATGCAAGGCTTATGCTTTTAGCCATAATTACACTGAACATTTGGACTCAGTACAGCCTTTAACATTGTAAATACCACTATTTATTGTAGTACATTTTAGACCTCCAGACTCACCCAAAGCTAGTCTTATGGATTTACAAGCTTTTACAGAACAAACCACATAAGGGCCTCTTAAAGGTTTTATATCTACTGTAGGGTTGAATTTATTGTCAGAGTGTTTTTCAGTTTAAATCTCGTATAACACGGGAAGAATGCTTTTAAGTATGCCGTTGAAATGGCCCTGGTAGTTTACATGTCTGGAGCTGATGTTGTGCTCCATTATCAGAATATAATCAACACCTTTAAAAAAAAAAAAAAATCTCTCAGAAATGCAAAACTTCTGGGGCAAAGGCAGAATCAAAGATGACACATCTTTGCTTCTCCAGCCAATGTCATCCTCGACCAGTAGGTGGAGTCCTTTCAGTACCAGAGAACTGAAGTGGGCACACTTAGTTTTTAATGTAGATACAGACTTCATCTATAAAAAGACAGAAATATACCCCAAATGCGGAGAAAACAAAGATTTTTTATAATTGTTATGAAGGACTCTGGTTTATATATCATTCCATCTTTACCTTCAATGTTTTATCATAATATAACTTCCTCACAGTCAAATATTAGACCAAGCTGTCCCATATCATTGAACAGGTCAGCAAATTTCCCAGATTACAGCGAACACCTCTTAATAATTGTTCAAGAGTTCAGTGATCAATAAGGCCACAACTGATGACAGA